GAGTGATCAACTATAATCAGCTACAAAAAGAGCGCTTATGCAAGCTAAGATAGATAATATATCAGTTACTGGCATTGAACAGGTTTCTTGGATGTTAAAAAACATTAAAGTTATCCGGGCTTTCTATTTTCAATAAACCTCGTTCTTAAACAGTTTGAATCTGGACCTTTCACTCTCTTTCTCAAATTTAATGAGACTAAAATCTGAACTAGCATCGGCCGAAATAAGCACTATGTTTATATATGCCGGTTTTATTTCATTTTAAGTTCAGCAGTCAAGCTTCACGTATGCCTTTCGCTTTTGCTGATTATGCCTTCCATTCAGACAGTGAGCATTGAGCTGTTTGGAACGCCGACATTTCCTAACACTATAACAGGGGTCCATAGATAAAGTCCGCATGTATTCTTTCTCAAGGCAAACTTCTTCGTCAGTAATTCAAAAAGCATAAGAAAATTCGTGATAATAAGTATTCTTACTCAAAGACAGCAGAAAAAATGCAGATGGTTTTAGCTGTACAGAATGTTGCAAGCTGATCAATTTTTAGAGGCTCTTGGATTTAAAGGAATCAACTACCCCAGTGCAGAACTGGACTGGTTGCAGCGTCCTTCGAGTTTTATCGGTTCACCATCATCAAGTGGGAGAACATGGCAGACAGAGATGAGTCTTTTGAAAAACCAAAATTTGGCGAAAGTATTCCTCCGAAGTCTTGTGGGAGGTTGTTCTGTGTCCTGGAATCAGTACCCGAGTTCTTGAGAAAGCCTAATCCATCAAAGAGGTTAAAGGTTGGTCGAGGAGATAGGAGTGGATTACTGAATAAAGTTGGTGGGATGAACGGCAGAGGAAATGCATTGGGCGCCATCTTTGAGGGCATAGAAAGGGCCGTGGGATGACTGCCCAGACTGAGTTCAACTGAATCAGACTGCATTCGCGTCGTGTCCTGGCAGATTGCACCTTTGGCAGATAACCGACTTACACCTGCAGCAGAGACCCTTGATGCCGGTAGTACGGATCTTATGTCCGAAAGAGAATGAATCACCTCCTCCAGATGCTTGAGGCTCGTTAGACTATTAGCGCCACTCTCAAAGCTGTTGCACCGTTTCATGAGACCTGATGGACCAGTTGTACTGTTCATACACACTGCCACATCCCGTGAGCGAGTGGGAGCTCTCCCTCGCCGAAGACAGCACACCTCCTTGTTCCCAAAAGCTGTATCTGAGAGAGTACCATAACTGCCTCTAGAGTCTGCGGTTGGACCGGCTCCGCCTTTGTCATTTTGCCTGATCACTGGACAGGAGAGGTCAAGCGGCTCATCACTGGCTGCGCCAGTA